TGAATGGCAGAGGCATCTAATGAGGGTCAAACTTGCAGTGAGCTATCAACAAATTATGAACGGACTATAGTTGAACTAGACCCTGTTTCATATCTTTCCGCCGAATTTCTAAATTATAGGTTCCTTCAATTCCACGAACAAATGACTCTTGTAATACGAATCCGCCAAATTGGTTCATAAAAATGGCGTGCGGAAATCCACTTCGGGACAAATTAAGAAAAATCCGTCCCATCGCGAAACCGAATTTCCCGATGACAGGGCATAAGTAAAATATATATATCTCGGTCGAAGAAGAGGCTTGTTGACCCCGGATGGCATGACGTGGCTCGAAAATTTCCCATGATGACGACAATATGTCTCCTTCTGTCGCCTCACCGATCGATCGAAACCGATAAGAGTTTTCGTGCTATGTCGCTCGAGAGCAAACAGATTCAGGAAAAATATGCTCGACGTTTCTTTGGATGGTGTTATTCTCTTAGCATTCTGTTCAAACTGTTGTGTTTTTTTTTTCCAGGATCTATGTCATGAATGGCAATGATTTCCCGTCGTAAGAGGTAATATCTATCGAGAGTTTGTATTTTTAACGCTCTAGGGAAATACGCAGGGTCGTACTGGTGACGAATGAACTAACAAGGAACTCTACAATGTTTGTTACAAAAAACTAATTTTATTATTCATCTATAAAACTACATGAAAAATTATTTCTGTAGACTTCATGAGTATTGGGAGATATCATTGTGTGGAATATCAATGTACCTGGACTGTATTTCCTGTGATCTGAATTTGGATGTTTTCCTTTTGCATGATATTGGTAAATAGAGACAGCAAATATTTTGAATTGAACCGAACTGTGCTTACTTTGAGAATTCAACACTCGTTTCATCTCCCGACCGTTCTTGAAGGAATATCATATACGGGGTGTGCGCGATATTGTCGCAAATGGAGGCAAACAGAGAAATACCACAGTGTGAATACATTGCATATAATCGAAGCTACTATCAGAAATGTTTCAGAATATACTCTATTGAGTATATTGATTAAATTATTGTGTAAAGTATTCGTTTATGTTACATAGATTGATACCAACACTAAAACTTTTTCATCACGTATTTTCCCATCAGCTATTCATTAACTGTCTAGCGACACGGCCCACACGGATTGAATAGCATATCTGCCTACATTTTTTTTTTGAATCACAATGTCACATCAGCTCATCAAAAGCGTTCTGAACCGCTGTGTCAACCGGGGTTCAACCGCGAGGCCGGAAAATAGATTTTTCGGTTGCTATCGTCCAACCCGTGTTAGTAATCACACTTTAAAAGGTAAGACCTCGTTAGTCCTCAGCTCGCACAAGTTTCGGCTTCTGGGAGTTGTCGGAAAAACAGAACAAATTTTTGTTCCAATTAACACATATATGACTATTATTTAAAATAATGAAATAGATATAGTAAGGTATCCTTGAAAGACAGACTTATGTCATCGCAGACTTTTTGGAGACCTATAAAAAAATAACAATATGTTGTGAATTGTTTTGTTATATGTTAGGAATCTCACGTTGAAAGGTAAGACCTCGTTAGTCCTTAGCTCGCACAGTTTCTCAACTTCTGAGAGTTGTCGTTCGTATAGGGGCGACAGCTGATTACCGGAAAAACAGATTTTAAACATATTTTTTTCAAATGTCAAAGGAAGAAGGCATCGTTTTCGTTATAATCCCACCGGCCTC